AGCGACTCACACTGATGTCACTGGGAGGGGGGCTTGCAGGAAGTACCCCAGGGTGCCGCAAATGTCTGACAGCCCAACTGGTCCGTGAGGGAAGGGGAAATCATGGATGGCAGTTTCCACATGTTCATTTGATTGATTAGTCTCCCAGAATAAGGGACTGGGCTTACCCCAGGCAGGCCGACAGGTAATCTGACCAAATCGAATGTTTACCAGCACTGATTAAATGAATACGAAGGGAGCGCCGTGGATGAGAGCATTATTTCAGGAGACAATGCAGAAATGCTAAGATGCACATGTTGTTCCGGCCTGTAATGTCATACCTGTGGCAGTAGGGGGCACTAGAGACTTGAACTCGCGGGAGATGTGCCGCTTCATCCTGCTTCTGCCACCTTCACACTTAACAATTAAAATCGAGGTTACCCATTTCGGTAGAAACCAGATCTCCGCTGCTCCACATGGTGTCTTTGAAAAGCTCCTCCAAAAGTGCAGCAGTACATGAATATGCCCCCCCCCCCCCCCCCATGCCCCCCGTAAGCATCATCGCCAGCGAAATCTTCACTGTGCTGACACCTCGATGATCCATCCCTGACTGAAGCCTGGTTTCCCTCCCGCGATCTGTATCGAGACGGGCAGGGAATCCCTTGATCCCCAAGTCAAATCAGAGGGTTTGACAAGATGACGACGACGTCTCCCGTCCGCCCGACGCCGTGCGTCGCTCTGTCCGGGTCGCATGGGCGCGACGTGAGCCGTGATGCCGGCCATCCATCAGGGCGTCCTCTGAGATGCGGGGGCTATTTGCGGCGTGTCTATTTATACATCGGAGGGCTTGGTAAAGAGCCGGTTCAGCTGGGCTACCAGGCCACCGGCTGCTGCGGCGGCGAGTTATTAAAAGCCGCAGAGAATCGTCTTCCTTTTATACGGCCTCGCTGTTAATCGCTCCTCCCGGCCTCATTCGCAGGGCTTTGCGGAGCCTCTGTATGGGCGGAGAAGGTAGCGGTAACATCTGCCCACCGCTTCGCAAGAGAAGCCAGAGTCGGCGGAGGGGACGAGCGGCACTGCCGTGTTCCGGATAATCCGGGAGACAAACGGCCGTTTAAAGCTTTTGACTCCACTCACCTGGAGGAACACCTGGATCTTACTTCCGGCGAGCGCTGCAGGTAATCGAGGGGAGCTCACCACCCTGTCGCTGCCGTCTCGTCCCGGTGAAAACACACACCCACTAATTAAAGGCCACAGAGCTGCTGACAAGCAGGCAGAGAGCCGTACAGCAGCGATCAGCGCTGGGTAGGTCATGTGTGAATTAGCAAGTGGGGCACCTGTCTTATACTATAGTCTATAGTTAGTTCTAAATATAGGTCAGATATGTACTGCGGGAGATATGTTGTGAATACTGATTCGGACTACAGCGATAAACATGAACCTAAAATTAACATATAAATAAAAAATGCTTTTACAGATCGGTGTATCTGCAGACGAAAGAACACACCATCCAAAATAATGGTTTTATAATTGGACACAAGTTCCACTTTTCTTTTTTTTGTTGATGTTTTCTCTCTTGCTCAGGTTAAAAAATGTTTCACTGGGATTTTTTTTTGTGTGTGACTATACTCCCTTTTTGTCCTCTGTGCTCCAGAGCTAAAGCTGTTTCCCTATAATTCCGGACACAATGATGCTCTCAGAGGCACAGAATGTCAGACTGTCCATCCATCTTCTGCCCGCTTATCCTGGTCCGGGCTGTCGGGGAGATCTGGAATCCGTCCCTGGCAGCGCAGGGCGCAGGACAGAGGTACACCCCAGATGGGATGCAATCCCAATAAATCCCCCACAGTCATGTGGCAACCTTTAAAATAGCAGGCGCTTTAGCTGGTAGGATAACACAATCCGGGTGAAACGCTGATCTCTGGAGGATGTGCAGGAGCGATGGAAACTGAGAGAAGGCGGAGTACAAGCCACAGCAAGCGATGCGAAGCTTCAGCACTATTTGTAAATGAGAGTCGAAAATAAATATATATATATATATATATATTAAAATAACATTAATATGCAGGGCAGCACTTTCAGCAGGTCGAATGTAAATGTGTCCTTTTTCAGGAGAACTGGGAGCCGACGCAGTACAGTGGCAGATCCCCGCCAGGCCGGAGATCCTGACAAATGCTGGTTCTGGTTATCGGGCTCGGAATGCCAAACCCTGATCGGTCAGAGCGATGTCAGAAATAGAAGCAGATACCCCTAATCATGAGTTCTGGATTGCGAGCTGAGAATGCTGTGTCTGCCGAGGCTGGGCCTGGGTTCGGGTTCGGGGCCGGGGGTGGGGGGTGAACCAGTCGGCACCTGGGCGGCTTTAAAGCTCTCCCACTCGTATCTGGGGCCCAACTGGTATCATGATGCCTCCTGTTTGTGGCTTCCCAAGGAAAACATTGGACTTCATGCACAAGTCGTGGCTCGATATCGCGTGGAGCAGCAATATCAGCTCAGCTAAAGTCACAGCTTACCAAGTTCACATGCGATACATCGAGAAAAGAACGCGGGCAAGAAAAGCTTCCAGGGCTGGCTTTGGGCTGTCACCCCTAAGTGAATCGTAACACCGAAGCTGTCTAATATTCTGCACGACTCGTGTCTGTTGCAAGTGAAATCGTGCATGGGGAAAAAAAGCAAACAATTTCACCGTCAGCATATAAGAACACGACGGAACGTGTCGAAACACACACTTGTGCTGTCTTGTTTTACTGGCTCCAACTATGATTCGCTGTGGGAGTCCAGGCTGATGCTTTGAGTTCCATAACAACAACAAATTAGTTACTTTTGTCTCAATAAAACACATTCAGTGCTTTTGTGTTGCTATTGTGTGATCTTTTGCTGAACATATATGTGCTGGCATTCCCATCCAGGGTGTACCCATCCAAGGTGTACCCGTAAACGGTGTACCCATCCAAGGTATACCCATAAAGCATGTACCCATCCAAGGTGTACCCACCCAAGGTGTAACCATAAAAGGTGTACCCATCCATGACGTACCCATCCAGGGTGTACCCATAAAGGGTGTATCCATTCAGGGTGTATCCCAACCTAGTGCCCTGTGCTGCCTTGGATAGACCCCCCACCCCACCCCCCCAAGACACTGACCAGGAGAAGTGGTTTGAAAATGGATTTCTGGTTGATTACATGTGCTTAGATCCTGCACTCATGCGGCACATCTTCTCCCTGATGTTCAAATCATATCAGTAGCCTGAGACTGATTGTACTTTAAGCTAATTTTAGGACCAGTCTGAACTAGCTCAGAGAGGACACCCACTATGAAATATGAGTTTGTCATAAATTAGCTACCATAAATTGTGAGATGGAAATCACTTGTCTTATCACATGCACAGGTAATACCTCCCTACTGTAATAATAAATCAAGGTAATTTAAGGATTTAATTTTTGCACTAGCAATAAATGTCACATTGAAAGTTTCAGCAAAAGAAGAAAAAAATCCAGACAGGTCAACTGACAAGCGAGCAGTATTTGGCCCATAATTACACATCTTAAAGAAAATGAACTTGACATGATCTCCATGAGCATAAATCAAAAAACCAAAGATCTTGGCTACGTCTATCACAAACAAGTTCTGAATGGTGCCTCATTAAGAATGCAAGCCAGGCAACGAGTCAATGCAGATGTAAGGCTCATTTTGTCCACAAGCAGTGGCTTCCAGAGTATTCCTCAGAAACGCCCTTGCGTGTGAACCATGACCCTATGATGAGAATCGGGGCATTAAGTCATAGTTAAGGCTAACATAAGACGGGGATTAAATATCTTTCAGCCAAGCATAAGCCCATAGACATTTCAAGGGAAAAAGTCCCCTTTTCCACAACTGTAATCAAATAAAACAAGGCAGGCACATTGGAGATGTACATTTGCAACCACAGCATAATTTGAAAGGCAATTATGCTGGACTTGTTGGATGGGATTAAAATGAAAGGAATAAAATAGGTATGCTGAGGTGACCTAGATTTTATCGTTGCAACTCTGTTCGATGTGAAACGCATCGAATATTGTTTTAAATGACTCAACCCACCTACTCACAAATGCCCCATCACACTCCCACAGCTACATCCCCCAAGCCGAAGGAAACTAGGAGCAAGTTTGCAGCAGAAAAGGGGGGGTGAGGGGGGGGGGACAGCCTTTGATGACGCTCATGCGCTGTGTTCAGTCCTGCTTGACGAACACCAACTTCTGTTGACGGAGTTATGTAATCCTCTCCCGCGTGGGTACTGCACCAAAATTAGGAGGTCATTATGATACCGGAAACGTGGTGCAAAATCAGATGCATTTATGCATGGTTTTTAATATTATTGCAAACTCCCTTAGTCCTCCTATCTCAATAATGCCCTTTAAATAGTTTTAAAGCCACCTTCTGCGCATAAACGTGCGATGCCCGCGGAATGCAATATGAATCTAGCCGCCGACACGTTTGCTTTAATTCATGGATAGCGTTTTCATTCCACATCCATACTGTTTACCCCTTCTCGTTTTCAGATGCAGTTTCTCTAAACTCACGGGCATCGTGCAAAGACGCGCTCATTCATTAAATAACACTAAAGTCTCTCTCCCCAACCTCCAGCCCTTCTGTCCGGCCTTCCTATTTTCTGTGACCTGCCTTTTAATGCGGTACCATCTGACTCCAAGGACAACTTCAAACGCGAAGGGGAGACGGGAAGAAACTGTCCGCGGTGCTGAAACGGACTTAATAATAGCAATCAGCAGAGGGCGGCATTACACACGCGCAGCAAAGCCCATCGCAAACACCAGTGCTGTATTTAAGACATTATTTAATTTGCAAACAGCAGCGAATGCAATACGTGTTTAATCCAAATAAGCACTTTTTTTTCCACATCCTGAGGACGCCGACATACGCGCATCTTCCCAACCTGAGTCAGGTGCCATTATAAGCCAGCGGGCTGAGATACATACTGTCATGTGCCTCTCTACCTGTCTCTCGCGGATCCAAAAGTACTCACCATATTGACTTCCGAGACCATGTCGATGCTGGAGATATCTATGCTCATCCCGACATCGACTGGAGCACCTTTGGGCGTTATGCAAAGGACATGCATCAGTTGTAGGATGAACTTCGGACAATGTCAGACATTGTACATACTGTGCCCCTGTCATGCTGCTAGCGCTAGTGTAGAGGACAGTATATTTAGAAGAATTTCATTACCTCCGAAATCGGGCCTTAAACGAATGTCATATCCTTTGAGCAATTTATCCACCGTTGATTTCACGTATGACATGTTTCTGGGCTCAGTTGCGCTGAAAAAGATTTTTAAAAATATATATTCCTTTCATTCACACGCTGACCGCACCGCACTCTGTCATAACGATTGTATAAGAAAATACAAGATCATAGTTAAAAGATCTCACCTTTGCGCACAGCGGACCATGGCTATCATCATAGGGAGGAACAAAATCCCTGCACAACCTCGGTCTTGAACTGTCCACATTACTAACTTTGTGCAAAGGGTACGGCTTCGAGTGAGGATCCGAAAGATGCAACTTAGTCCTGGGTACGGCGATAATCCCGACGGCAGCAAACGCATGCGCGTCGCTTAAGCAGCATGAAAACAGGCGAAATACTTTCCGACAAAGCGCTGAAACAAACTAATATCCCCCCCTCTTTTTTCAGGCGTGTGTTGCTATTGTCAGTGCGAAGGAAACGGAGAAGATGAATCAGATCAATATGCCGGTCAGATCCACCCCTTTGGCAGATTTAAACATCTTCAGCGGATGCATCGGTGTCCGGATCAGATTTGCATTTAGCGCGTCCCCCACGTGTTGTAAATAACGCGGATCGTAGCGGGTATCCGACTCAAGGCGTCGCGGAAAGCGGATGGATGTAATAGGCTGCGTGTTTCTCCGTATTACCTGAGCTGCTGAATGCATCAGACTCACGTCATGGGGTTAGGCATGAAGTTTATTATATGACACTAAGGAGCACGTAGATAATTAATTATTTTTAAAAACAACGGGAGAAAATGCGTCAAAACGACACTAGTGGATGTGTGATAACAGAAAAATAAATCCATGAAAAAAAAAACAGGGTGTATATATCTTTATATAGATCTTTACATAACTTCATGCGGTAACAATGCAGGAGAGAAACATGAAACGTTAATTTTGAGTCTACGTTTTCAGACAAGCATGTCTCGTTTATGTACTTTGGTGTGCGCACAAACGTCTTTCATAGCTGTTTTTGTCCGTTTTTGAGTTGGAAACAACTATATTCACATTCGTTAAACACTGAAACTGTCATCTTGGCAATGGAAAATTGGTAATCGCTGCAGAATAATTCATTGTGGCCGGAAGATGTATGCTATCATATTCTTTAAGCCACTTATCTATAAAATATCTTGCCAACGTGATGATTACTGATTGATGATGGGAAAACACATTATAACTCACCGTCTGTAAACAGTCTAGTGTAGCTTCACCTTACGGATCACCAAAGCAAATCAATTTATTTTTACTGGTTACGTTATCGACTTTAAATTTACATTGGTATAAAAATCACAATGCGGGGATCTTATTAAAACTTTCGCACCAAGTGTTTTACGCCTGTTTTATTATGAGGTGCAAAATCGTATATAAACTGGAAACAACAACCTTTTTTTATAAAAAGTAAAAACTGAAATACAGACTACAGTGGCATAAATCCAGCCAGTTTTGCATTATATTCCAATTTTTCAATTGGTGTGTTGCCATAGGTAATTTAAATACCATGTACCTGACAATTAACCGGCTGGGTTATGTGCCATCTTAAAAGGGAACTAATTAAGTGGTAATTAACCTATGTTAAAATTAGATAATGTTCATATTCCTTTTGAAAATTAAACATAAAGCCTTTCTCTGAGAGTAAACGACTGCTGTCTTAACATTTGCGAAATAGTATCTTCTGCCTGAGGCAGGCCTGAGCTTGAAATCTGGCATTTTCCTTCTTGAGTCGGTGAGTATTTGGGCCTGCAAAATTTATTATGGGGAAGTAAGCCCCTCCCCAATCCCCATAATGGGAGACCTCAAAGTGCAGGGCCAAATTTTAATCCCAGTCTAATCCTGACCCAAGCTAATGGCTAATATGCTATCATAGTAGTAGTTACTCAGCAGCCTGACCGGGATCACAGTTTATGGATTAAGATGGCCTTACTGGTGTCTCCTATTTCATAATGCTGTAAGCTGTGCAGCAAATATGGGTATTAAACTCGTCAAGTTTTGCAAATAATCCAAGGTTCACACGTGTCGCAACACCGGAGTCTGCTGTTAGCTGGACTCGCACAGCTACCAAATTGCCCTGCTTATATAGGGTTTGCTAGAGAGATGGAAAAGGATAATATTCCACATTTTTATCATTTTTGATAGGTGGGATTTTTTTAGAGAGTTTGTGACATTTTGGGACCATGCTCTTATAAACACATATATTAAGGCCTTTGAGAAAACATTTCAGTTTTTTTTTTTTTTTGAGTAAGACAATAGAATCATCTTCAGAGGTTTCATAATTAATGTCTTAACCTTAATTCCAGTTGCTAGTCAGATTGCAACAAAGACTATTTGTTTTATTCACTCTGTTGGTTAGTCTTGTAAGCCTTACTAATCTTTAAAAATGTGAGAAGACGTTACTTAATTTCACATTTCTAAAGCAAAAATTCTTTACTAAAACATTTTTAAGTACAAACTGGATCTTAAGAAAATCCTGAAACAATATTCAATGGCAATATTTTGCACGTCATTCCATCCTTGGCCCATCTAGATATTAAGGTCTTGTGAGGAATTCAGGATGTCATCAATTCAGCCATACACTTTGTTTTATTTATAACATGGAAGCCAAATATACCACAATCGCTAAGGTATATTCAAGCTAACGAACTTTGACACAAAACCGTACAAAGCTGGCAGTTTTGGCTGCTGCTTCAATCAATGACAATCCTTTATCAATAAAGCTCCTCATTTTCACCATTTGTTACAACAGGAATTCCCACAGCGACTTGTGTGTTCAACAATTCAACAAAGCCTCCTCCACGATTCTTCCCTTTCAAGAAGAGAAGTGAGAAGTGCTCATTTGTGTACAGCTCAGTCTTCTGCCCGAAAATGGCTCCGTAGTGCAGGCTTCGCTCCCCGTTTTCACAGTTGCCAAAAAATACCACGGGCTGGAAATCCGAAAAGCGGCAGCACAAAGCAGAAATGCAAATAACCAAGAGATGGAGCCCTTTTGTTATGGCACTGCAGTTTTCAGCTGCATTGTGAATTTCCAAATAACGGCAGCCAGCAGGCAAACTCAAGCCCTTCCACTCTTACAGCGAGAAAATAATCACCTACTTTACTTACTGCCACTTAACTGCAGTTATTCTCATAACAGTAAAACTCGACTCATACCACTTAAAATAACAGTTATTTTATCTATTTATTGCACGGTCCTGTTCATTTAACTCCATTGCCTATTTTCGCAATCACCACCCCCCCCCCCAAAAAAAACAGGTGTGTGTACCTGTGTTTTTTGTCTTTAACGGATAATTTTTTATCCATGTCTAGATTTCCACAGTCAAATATCTTATTATGTCAAGTTTGTATGTTTTACGTATTTAAATTCATTACGTTTTAACAAATGTATTTAATATCAGTGTATAATATAAGATTTTGACTTGATTTGTAGTTTTGAGAATCTCTAATACTGCATGATGCACAGTGTCTGTGAATAATAATAATAATAATAATAATAATAGTGATAGCTTTTATTTGGCAACATTAATTCTAATCTTATATAAAAACATTAACAATGACAATAAAAAAATGCATATGGATGCATATGCATGACTTTTTACTGATTCAGCAGCTGCTTTAATCCAAAGCTTCATACATATTTGAGACAGCAGGTTCAGACAGTCTCTGGAGCATAGGGATTGGAACTGGCAACCTTCTGGTCACTGGCATTGCAGTCACTGCCACATGCCATTCTTGCAGACATGTGAGGAAAATTGCCTGCAGGTTCGTTGGTGTTTTCAGATGAACGCTCAGTGAGCTCTTTCAATTGGGACGCAGACATAAATTATGGAGAAAAGCACATGATTCTATGTGACACCCCAACTTTATTTACATTCTTCCGTAATCAACTGTATTCACCTATCCCATCATGCTCGGCAAGAGATGCATATATAGCTGCGAGAAAGTTTGGGGTCATAGCGCAAGGTCGGCCAGCTGAGGGTTTAACTTGCTCGAGGCTTCAATGGCAGCATCTGTCTATCAGCCGTCCGGAGCTCGAACCAGCAAACAACCGATCACAGCCAGACCGTCAAAACTCGACGAGCTACACATTACCCACCTGCTCCAGGAATGCACTCTGTAGCAAAAATTTGCGGTTTGAGCTGGTGTGAGCCGCCTGGCCCCTTAACCTCTGAGGTATCTGCACTCACATATCACATCGCTTTAGTCTTCAGCCTCAAACATGATTCCTCACGTGTTCGTGGATCTTCCGTCTGGGATATTTAAGCGTTCGGTGGTGCTGAGTTTTTATGCGTGAAAAACGTGGCGTACGTTACTGACCTCCACTGATTGTCAGGTATTAAACGAAATTAAGAGAAGGTGAGGTTGGTATGGTAAATGTGCTGCTCGGGAGAGAGCAAAATCCTCATGCTCCCTCATTATCCTGACAGCAGTTGAGATCTTGTCATGAGTGACGGATGCTGATTGGAGACTTGCCTGATCCGCGGTAATGAGAACAAATGCCCCCCCCCCCCCCCATATTTAACGTGGCTTAACCTTTTAGCAACATTAATGATGCAGACGACCTTACTGTTTGCCCTTCTGTTAGTACATTTTCTGTGTAGGCTAAATTACAGTCTCGACTATTTAAAGTGATGAAAAACTACTGGGTCATTTATTAATCATTAGAGTTATTCTTTTGAAATTTTTCATAAATATGTTTTCTGAGGAAAATGGCCTGAAGTGAAAGAAATGGGAAATGCACACATGGAGATATCTCTGAGCACTTTCAGCACTGAAAAAGCTTCAAGTTTGATGTTGGTGGTGATGCTGGTTTAGGTGGAGATGAGAGTGACTGCTGTGGTTCTAGTGATGGCAGTGGGCGTGTGTGCTGTTACGGTGTTGGCGATGGCAGCAGGCATCTCTGTGCTGGTGATGGTCTCAGTGATGGTGGTGGGCATGTCTGTGCAGGTGATGGTGTTAATGTTTGCAGTGTGCATGTCTGTATTGGTGACAGTGTTGGTGATGGCAGCGGGCGTCTCTGTGCTGGTGACGGTGTTGGTGATGGCAGCGGGCATGTTCTCGTTTTCCCTTGTCCACTTGTCCTCAATCCTGCATGTAAACATGTCTATCAGCCTTTATGAGACTCTGATGAAATGCTGATAAAAACTAAAAAGAAACAGTTGTGCTGCTTCATTAATCATGTAAAAAACAACCAACAACTGTGCTGCAGTATACTGTACCTTAGCATTGTGGCACAGAGAGCCGCGCCGTGACTGCAGACCTCCTGGCTGGGAAGCTAAAATCCTGCCCCACTCTGCCTGAGCTATGTATGTATGCATCAAGTATATCAGTAGTGTGAAAATGCCATATAGTGCCTTGCAGACAGCACATCTCTTATGGATTCACTTTGGCTCCACACTCTGCTGGATTTTGACATCTCAGGCATACAGCAGAAAATCTACCTATCAGTGACATAAACCAGTTATGAACAGAACAACGGAGGGTGAAGGAGAAGCAGATAAATGAATAAACAACTCACAAATTCCGATAAAATTTGAGCTTTAATATCAAACGGTAAAGAGCCCTTTTCTTTGCAGAGGCTATGATTTTAATGGGGCTTATATGACAATAATCAGGTTTATTTAATTTATTAAATAAAAGGCCTTCCAATGATATAAATGTTGCGTCATACAAGCAAAACACTTTGATGATATATAAGGAAGTAATGACTTTTTTTGTAACCTAAGCTAAATTCTGAGGTTTTACTGCATAAGACGTGTATTTCCAACTGAGCTGCTGCTTTGAGGATAATTAGAGCCTCAGTAAAGCTGCTGTCATCCTTCCAAACCTGCGGTTGGAGACTCACATCGACTCCCACAGAACGCCCTCGAGTCGCTCGCTCGCCCGGTTCTGGTGCAGGGCTCCGTATGACGTCCCACACGGGATCACGGTGAGACGTAGTTGACCCCTGACCCTAACCCTAACCCTAAGCCTAACCAAGCTTCTGGTACTCAGGCGTTTTAGGGTAAAGCGAGGTTCCCACCAGACCAGGGAGGGGTTGGTAAATTTCTAAAAATAAATTATACATTTTCAAGCCATGCCTTTTGACGTCTGCAAGTTCTGATCCCATATGGAAATAAATAATAAATGGTAACGCTAAACTAATAAAATCTCATCGGCCGATTGCCCCTACTAGCCCCCCGCCGCCCTTTGCGACCCTTAATCTGAGCTTCTAAGCTAAAAACACAAATCAAGCAGAATCATTCTAGAGTCACAATTTTATCACTAGTACACATTCAACCCCCCTCCCCCCCCCCCGCCACGGCACCCCCCTGCAACCCGATGTCATGTTGCGGTAAAATAAAATAATAGCACAGATTCTATTATCAGTAGACTGCTTATGCTTGATGAATACACATTTTGCATATATATTAGATCCTTAATTCAATGAAGCGACCAGCGCAGTGTACAAGGTAAGACATTTTGCAGTTAACAGCAGTGTTTGTGATTTAAGAGACTGAAACTAGATTTCCTTAAATATTCAGCAGAGCAACTTCATGATAAGACAATAATGTCATCAATTAAGGTTAGAACATGATCTCGGTGCAATGTGACGTTGGTGAAAACTCAATAGCGAGGTCTGATGGAGGCTTGTGTGTGTGTGCAGGTTCAGGGTCAGACGCCGAGAGAAGATGACGAATCGGAACGCCGTACCTGGAAAACTGAAAGACCTGCTATTTGAATTGAGAGTGGTGCGGACATGTCCTGAAACGACCCCCCCTATCGCTTTTGTGAAGCTTAGCTTGCTGTTGTGATGTGGTATGATAAAAAATATTATGAAATTAGGCTTCTCAGGAAGTCCTGCTTCTGCCGCTGAGGGCAACGTGGAGAGAGAACACAAGAGGCTTCCGGAATCTTCCGAAACAGAAGACCGCGTCCATACATATGCATATGCAAATGTGCACACGTATGAATTATGCAAATATGTTATTTTGCTGATATATTTCCAGTTAGTCGCGGGGAGTGGGGGGGGGGATGAATCAACAAAATGTGTTTTCCTCAAACTCAAGGTTTTAGCTGTAAGAAATGTGGTGTTTTCACACAATATCCGGTAAGTGTTAATCCTCTGAGATCCTCTCGAATGAGCTCCGTTTGAAGGAGGGGACAGCTGGCTGGTACTTGGCGGTTCGCTATACAAATCAAGTTCTCGTGAAGAGATGTGGGACGTTTCTATATAAACCCAAAAAGAAAGCCCTCGAGATCATAACGTCAGTCGGCGACTGAACTGGCATTCCTGTAAGGTTCGTTTCTATGATCTAACCGGCCTATGTTGTCATACCCGGCATAAATTCGCTTTGTTTGACTAAAGTTGAAGAAAAATTTAACGCTCGTGGGATTTTCCTGACTGTCACTGGTTTTACTTTCACGATTTTTCAGCAACAAAATTGATCCATGCAATTCATTCAATGCTGCTTAAATATTTTACGTCAGCTGAATTTAAATGCGATTTTATGAAAATAAAGTTACAGTTTGAAATTTCAAAGCATGTTGGTAACTAAGAACGGTACATGTTACTCCCAGGTTCACGTAAAAACAACCATCATTTCCAGGCAGACAAGAGACACCATTGAGAAAAACAATTGAAAAAGGCCTCCTAAATTGGTATTCATTTTCCACTCCTGTCTCATCGCTCACACTCGAACATATCACAGAGACGCGGACGCAGTGGGTGACAATGTCATTTCCTTAGTCATCCTCGCCCTGCCAGTAGCAGCAAATGTCTCAGCGACGCCGCACGGGGCTCCATGGCTGAGCCAAGGAAACAGTGGCATTGAGAACATCACTCTGTCGCTTCGCTCCAACAGGCGGTCCTGCATTGTGTGGTAGCCTTAATTTATCAGTCTGGGCTGTCCTCTGTTCCTGATGAGCTTCTGTGGGAGAGCAGAGCAGACACAGGTCACCCAGCTCTGGATTCAGTCTGGATCCTGTGATTATGCGGGATTGGGAAACAGCTAATTACATTTTTATTTTTGGTTGTGTCAGCAATCTAATTGAATCCTTTCATTTAAAACTATTTTTTTGAACTTGGGATACGGTGTGTTTCTGACAAGCGTTTGATGTCGTTTGCGGGAAGGGAGTGGATTTTTAAGGCCTGCTTCTGATTCTACTGCTACGAATTCTATTATATTACGGATCCAACAGCAACTACCATGAATTTTTATCAGCAAGCAGTAAATACACAATAAAACTCGCAGTGTTAAACGAACACTCTGTATTAAATTAGCATAGTCTGTGTTAAAAGACACTTTCTCAATATTAAAAACATTGTCATTGTTGAGTAAACGGTCCTTGTAATAAATGGATATTTCTTACACCCTCTTGGCAATAACAGAATAGGGCAGAATGTGCTGTATGGATCCTCTGCTCTACATCCTTTTTGTCTAAACTTCACAGTTTGACACCTGGATTTGATTAGTAGACAGGTCTATCTTTTAATCCCAATTGGCACCGACCCCCTTCACAGTTTGACAGACGGGGCTCTCTGAGCGCCTTTGTGACTTTACCTTCATGTTGTCCTGCGCTGAAAGGGAAGAGTACCGGCTCTTTTAGCCGAGAGTGAAGGACGCCACTGTAAATAAGGTCCAATCAATCACTTGACAGACAACACACTGTACCTGTAGAAAAAACAACATGTCACAACAGACAATTTGAAGTTTTGATAATGTCATCCTGTACCGTTCACTACACTTTTTCTTCTATGGTTTTGAATGAGAAATGCATTCTGGGAAATCCAATTCTGGTTGGCATAAGCTTTGCAACCACGATAAATATAAGCAGAGCAGTATCTACATCTATTTATCTACAATCATTGGAGGGGCCCAGTTCACATCAGGGCTTTTAAATATGTACAGTAAGTGGTGCTTTAGCTTAGCGCGTCTTACTCTTGCATTCCCTTGTTTGCTCTGCAGTGAAATATAGGCTAAAGGCTAACGGGGGCATGCGCACGCAGCGCGCTGAAAACTAGGTTATGATGGCGGAAGCCAAGCCTTTGGGGCGCCGCTCAAACAGAGCATAGCCAGAGAACCTGTGTCCCAGGACGGAGGGCCCCCGAAACGGACGGGATGCGACAGCCCAACAAAACCACGCACGCTACCTTACTTCTGTACCAAACTTTATAGCTGACATTAATTTTTCATTGTGTCTCTATGCACTTTATTTGCACTATTTGCATCTATCTATCTACAGTATCTATCTATCTATCTATCTATCTATCTATCTATCTGTCTATCTGTCTATCTATCTATCTATCTATCTATCTATCTATCTATAAGCAAAAAGTTTGCAGACGTTTTCTGGACTATAAGATGCAATTCTATGCAGGTGTAGGGTCTTGCTAAGCATTCACAGATCCCAAAAGGTCAGCAGCTCACAATCATTCAGCATGGAGAATGTCTTGCCATTGTATGAGAATTTCATGACATGTAAAACTGCCAGGAAAAAAAACAAATGAGCTCCAGTTACGCTTAAAGATGAACCGACCTGGTTACCATCAGCTAAGGTTCAATTGGCTCAATATGGATTAATGTCGACACTCTGATGTTTCAGATCCAGCTGTTAAATATTATCCTGACCATCATCATCAGCAGTAGAGAGTATATTTGTCCCTTCTACTAGGAAAAGGACAGAACATTGTTAACCTCACTTACTCCTATATAAGCAAACAATGATAAATGACAACCCTTTTGCTAAAAGTTCCAATGGAAGAAGCACTAAATGTCCCTCAAGCAGTTGATAGCGTAGCGGCTAAGAATACAGCCTTTAGTAACCGGAAGGTTGTCAGCTTGAGTGCCAGGAGTGCAGTGGCCGTACTTTCGAGCACTTAACCTCATTCACTCCAGCGAAATATTTGCTTCTTTGAACTTGTAAACTTGCAAGCTTCCGTGGGAAAAGCGTTCAGCTATTAAAACAAAACATGAGTGAACTGCACATTGATTTAGAAGTTATGCCCAGGATTAAAGCACCCAGCCTGATTGGATGCACAGCATTTGACATTGTGCTTGGCTATGAGAAAGCAAAAAGCAGAGACTGATTTAAGCCAGCGGCACCATGGGATTTGCGGAAAGCCTAGAACCCAGAGTGTTCTTAAATGCCCACCCTCCACCATATTGTTCATCCTTCTAGTCTCAGTGTAAAGGGGACAGCGTAGCATGTGGCTTGTCCTTATTCTTGAACTAAGTGTATGCGCGTGTGCATGTGAGAGTGTGTGACTCGATGGGTGGGGGCGGGGGGAGCTGAGTAGCTGCATATTGCAACAAGATTGACCCATTTGAATCCTGGATGCTCCTTTTACCGATTCTAAGCCTGTTTTTGTAATTACGCCAATGGTGGCTTTCTCGTTCTTCCATCCCTCATGTCTATCCTACGACTCACAGGAGTGAGAGACACACACATATACGCACCAGGACACGCGGCACACACACACACCGCAAGCCACTCGCCTGCAGACGGCCACACACACGGACTGCGCTGAGGAGTCCATGAAGTGCATAGCGGGAAAAAATCAAACCGTCATGCCAACCAAGTGTCACGCAAGGACGAGGGAAAAGTTTCCTGGAAAGAAAAAGGTTAACAACTTCTCAAATTAGTGATGCATCCGAAATGCATCAAAGCCCGCTGTTTCCTTTAATTCCATAAGTGTGAATAATTGTTGTGGCAGCTCGGATAAAGGCAATCGACCTTGGATAATCAAACGCCGCCAGATTCACTTCAATAAGAGAAAACACCTGCTAAGTCTTGCTGGACAAACGCGCAGTGTTTTTGTTCTTCAACACGAATGCAGTCCATTTTTCTTCACGCTTTTTTATTGATGATGGTGTAACAGGCGGATTTATTGCGCCACGGAGACAAAACCCAATTTTGAAATAAATCGAGGCATATTTCGGTGTCACCTTCCTTTTTCTTGGCTTTTTTTAAGGAAGTGCGATGCTGTGAAGAGATGGTCTTTTGGTTTACCACCAGCAGAGTTGCGGGTTTGAGTACATGCGTCTGGACGTCTGCGACCATACGAGCGACGCGGTTCAGCTGAGACGCCTTTACGCTTCCTTTCCAAAAAATATATTTGATTATTTTATTTTTTAGGGGGGAAATGCGAGCGTATTAGCTCGGTTCGGTCCATTTCTTCGATCACTCCTCGGCACTGGGCGCTTGGCGAGGAGAGATGTGAAGGGCTTTAAAGTATGGCATGCAAACATGGTTTCTGCCAAGAAGGCGACGGTGATCGCGATGTCCCCGAGTTGCATCTCCACTCTCTTTTACTTTCTCTGCGCAATTGCGTGGTAAGTAGGATTTGGGGGTTAATTACTTGGATTTGGGGCTTTACTTGCTCTTATTTCTGACAGGATTTGAGACGCCGTAGATTATATACGATGCAGAGCTTGTATTTGCGAAGAGCCATAGTGGGGAGAAGTAATGGCAACGATGCGCGATGTATTGATGATTCTGCTCCTCATCATGCAATAAATGGTGGCAATTAAGTCCTTCGGTTTCTCGGACGTCAACCAACGTACATTTCCTCTTTGGTGCCATTTCGCAGTGTGAGGAGAATCTCCTGCCAGATAAAAAAGGATGAGAGATTATACCCGGAGAATTTCACACGCATTTTAGACCGACTTCTGGATGGTTATGACAACAGGCTGCGACCCGGATTTGGGGGTACGTACGTGCGGATGAAAGTGTTTCGGGCTGTCTTGCAAAAAAATTTTTAAATAAAATAAAATAAGATGTTATTCATTTGGTGATCCAGTTTGTTTATTGTAAAAGAAATGAGGGAGGAGAAAACGAGATCAATCATTATATATCTAGCGCAACTGTGCTGTTAGTGCCAGAAAGTTCAATATGTGGGTTATGGGGTAATGCTGTATGTTACAATATTATTAGGAACTGGTATAATCGTTAGGATAAATGTATATATGAAGCATGTGGTGTTGATGGAAAGGGTTGAGCACTGAGCAGCAGACTGATGTGTTTGCAGCTGTGGAGTCGTGTTGTCTGCTCCCGTAACTGCTGCCTGATGCTTCCTTTCATTCTTCTGCCGTTTCTTCGCGTTTCTTTGATTGATGTGTAATTTTTAATATTTTAAAACGATTTACGCTACCGGCTTTAAAAAAGAAACTATAGGCGCAATGTATGTAGCCTATATGTATGAATAGCGCATTTATTTATTTATATTTATTCTGGAAAACCCATGTAAGTGCGCTATAAAGTGTTTGCACTTAAAAGGGATGCATACATGTACGGCAAAGTATTCGTGACTCACAACGGCGGGTTCCCGAAACAACATTTCTGCAAGCCTTTGGATGATTTTCCTCTGCCCTGCCAAGCCGAGGATGATTACGGCTTTAGGCGTTTCTCCTTGCAAAAACTACACCAACGGGATACAGCATGATTATCGGCTTATAAATCCCCAGATTGTACTACACTGCAAACCTTCTTCCTATTTTTCTCCCATTGCATTTAATAAATTCTGGTTTCTACAGAGAGTGACTTTTCAATTCTTCTGTTGCACAGTAACTGCGCTATTATTTGGCGGCAATGGTGCTTTTAAATAGGACACGGTGCAACTTTTCTCTTAGACGCGTTTACCTGCCAGCGTGTTTCATGAGCGCTTATCTTTAGTCCATCAGCCTCCTTAATATTTATTTTTGAAGTACAGTATATTTATCTGTTTGCAATAATTCCCAAGCTGCAGAGTGCGGTGAAATCACCCCGAAAGGTGCTGCGGGATTTATAAACTGTACAGAACACAATTCTGCTTTCCCCTTGTCAGTTTAAGTAATACTGTAGTTGTTATTATTAGATTTAATTCCACAGTGCATTACGCAACTTCACCTATTACAAAACACAACAGTTCAGTAGCAACAACAGCAATTATTCTACTTATTTTGCCGAAAATGGCAAGCTAATAAAACAAAATTAAATAAAATAAACTGCACTAATGGTATGATAACCCAGACAGTTGAAGGGTATAACGTATTTGCTATGCTCCGGAGCTTCGTGTATAGGCTCACACTGTTGCTTTCAGTAACAACCTTGCGCTTAACTGTGAACGGGTGTTAAATACCTCTATTTATAAAAATCGAGATGAAGCGGTGACATTTGAGCCACATCTACATGTTTTTTTTTCTATAGCGTTAAATAAGCTAGTATTTTATTGCGCAACTGCTGTGCTTGTGCGCTTTGGGGTTTGTTTACGTCAGTGGAGATGGGCTGTTTCGGGGACTTCCACTTTCTCAGAAAGTTGTCCTAGTTTGGCCCATCAGCAGTCACACCCACACTTTACTGTGCCCATCACGACGTATGCTTATGTGTAGCCTTTGTTCGTTTATTAATTTGTTATGCAACTGTATGTGAGTGACTAGCATCTCATCGGAGTTGTCCTGTACCTTGTACCCTTGGGTACGTCATAGGGTCTGTACCCCCGTACTGGTTAAGTGGTTAAAGAAGATTGGATGGATGGATTTGTACTAGAAACCCTTGACTTAGGAATTTAAGAATGGATTTTTGAATTTTATGGTCGACTGGCATGTCTGGTTTAGTGATATGAAAGCCCGCATGAATCAACGCAAGCTGTGATCTTGATGAACGCTCCCCTTTCCTGCTATCTTACCAGCCTCCATTAAAAACCTTCACGCAGGCTAAACATTCAGCCACGTCGGGGTGGAAAGCTGTTCAGGAGTGTACTGACCCCTAAACTGACGGCTGTTCCCTCTAGTCCCCTGGGGTGAATCCTGCTGTGCTCCTATTGAGCCAGGCGCTTAACCTGAATTTCTTAAGTAGAAATGAGGAAATGCCTTCTAAGCTGATTTAGAGGCGTCAAGCTCAACGGCTCCATGAAAAATGTGGGCAGTAGGTTCGAGGTGCTTTTCAGAAAGACAGAGGCGACGTCGGCCATCTCTCCTGCATGCTCCCATTGTATATAGAGCAGACCTGAGAGAGTAAATCTGTTAAAAAATTGGCAGTTCCACTGGATCCAGTCTGTTAACTTGTCAGTCATACCTGTCTGTGAGCAACTGCTGTAGGGACAGAAGCAACCAGTTTTGAAGACACCTTAACAGCATCAGGCAGATATACTGCTAGCTCTGCTTTTCTTTTTGGGGAAGAACATTTTATATTTTGTCATATATTTTTTTACGTCTTCCAGGGCTTTCACACTCATAATAAACTGTAGTTGTGTGGTTAAAATGTATTGTTTCTTCCTTTTAGGCCCAGTGACAGAGGTAAAAACTGACATTTATGTGACAAGCTTTGGTCCTGTGTCCGATGTTGAAATGGTACGTTCCCAATTAACATAGTGTATGTGACATATAATGCAACTGGAAGATGATTAAGACTTTCTATTATGTCATTGACCTGCTCAATGTTTTTTTTTCCTGTGACAAAACATAAAACCATGCCATGTGTAGGTAGTTCACCTGGAATGTTGACACATTTCACGGCTTTATCCAGCATTTATGTTTTTTTTCCCTTATTTAGGAATACACGATGGACGTTTTCTTTCGCCAGACATGGGTGGACAGGCGACTTAGATACGATGGCCCTGTCGAGATTCTCCGCCTGAACAACCTGATGGTCACCAAGGTGTGGACCCCTGACACCTTTTTCAGGAACGGGAAGAGATCTGTGGCCCACAACATGACTGCACCCAACAAACTGTTCCGTATCATGAGGAACGGCACCATTCTGTACACCATGAGGTACTGACCTGACCTGTGGTCACATGGTCAACGAAATAATTCATGGGATCAGTCAACCCTGGCTTGATATTGGCAGTAGGGTATTTTCGGTAATAAAAAAGACCATAACGCTTAACATTAGAATGGACGTCTAGGTCTTGTCATTGGAACCCCCTTTTCGTCATCCTCCTGGGGGCGCTATTGAAGAATACGGTTTGTTGCGCCCGCAGACTGACCATCAGCGCAGAGTGCCCCATGAGACTGGTGGACTTCCCCATGGATGGACACGCCTGCCCCCTTAAGTTTGGAAGCTGTAAGTGTCCCCTTTGCCAGGTGGCGGAGAGAACGCTGCCGTGTGGATCTGGGTGCGGCCACCAGGTGGCAGCAGTCCTGAAGTGTTGACATAAACTTAGTCTTAAGCCTGTTTAGCTAGAGAGTCTCTTTTAATAGCACAATCACCTTATTATCACGATTTTATTGTGAATGATTCAGGGGAAATTCATTCAGAAGTTCTATCCATTTTCTGGAACCACTTGTCCATTCGGGGTTGCAGGGAGGTCCGGAACCTATGGGCACAAGGCAGGGAACAAACCAGAATGGGTCACCAAACCATTGCAGGGTTCGCCTATGGGCAATTTGGTAACTCCAAAGAACCAGAGAACTTAAAGGAATCCCCTCAACGACACGGGGAGAAGGCCACACACAGAACCACACACCCTGCAAGGCAACAGTGCTAACCACTGCACCACCATGCCACCCCCTGCTAGCTGATATTGCATGTACATGTATAAATGTCCCAGGACTGCAAGCTATAGAAAATGCCACCGTACTTAGAAGCATTAATAACCGTGCCCAAAGTCTAAGAACAACCAACTGTCAGGCTTGTAATTAAAACGGCTGGCGGTACTGTGCTGGCTAATATGCTTTATTTGTTCCCTTTAATTAGCTACCTGTTTATCTGCCTCTGAAGAAGCATGTATATATGTGTATATAGTTTGGAGTAACAATTATAGCGGTCACCCAGGTCCGCTCTTCAGGGAAACGACATACGTTGAGGTTTTTGTTCCACCTCGGTGCTTGAGTGCTAGACTCATTACTGCGCTAATTGAACTGATTTAGCCTTTTACTCCCAGAAGGAAGGTTGTTAGCTATTTAAGGAAAGCTGGAAAACCTGGTGGACTTCAGCCCCCCAGGGCCGAAATTGGAAAACCCAAGACTAACGTTCAGTCTCATTATAGCTTAGAATTTCAGTACAGTATATTATTGTATCTAACGCCAAATGATTTCCTCCTGGCAGTTTGTTGGATGCAATGGTGACATGTGGCATGCTTTCGTTTTTTTACACCGGAAGACAGGTGCACTGATGCTGTGTTTCAGACTACACTCTCAGATGCGTTTGTGTTGGAACTGGTTGCATTTATATTTTCTTTTTCCTCAAATCTGAATCTGGCTTCGTGTATCTGGAGTCTCCTGCTGCAGCCTCCCTCTTAATTACAATAAAGCTTTACGGCGCAGCTCGGAATTATGGGTGATATTTCAGTTGTCATCATTGGAAATGTCTTTAAAAAAAAATTAAAAAAATGACGAGTGGTGCTGAGCTAGAGAACGGGAGGGAATCATCTTTCTAATTTAACTGCTTGTATTAAAAACAGAAACCAAGTAGTTACGCCTCCTTACAGTGCGAGGCACAGAAGGTTTATCCGGGCGCGTTTGTCGTTTTTACACTACGCTCGTTTACGTTTAGGTGGGTATAAAACGGCGTTAAAATCGCACTGACGCGCTATTGTAGCTCATACGGCGCGATTAATGATAGACGCGGCAGCTTCCCACGGCTGCGTCTGCGGCTCGCTTAATGGTCTGCGAAATAGTAGCGTGCTGTCTCGGTTTACGCTTGGCGGTCACATTTCGGGAGGATTGTTCGGGCTGCTTCCAAGAAGACGTTTATAAAGCCCCCTTCTCTCGGGATTAGAGAGGGCAAGGCTAGTCCACTGCCACCACTATGACAGGAAAGTTCAGGCTCCTGATTCAGCCCTAGGGCCGCACGGATCTGTTCCAGAAGCAGCGGAATAGCACCACAGCCCCCTCTGGAGCCACGCAAGGGTTGCATCCAGCTTTCCGCGCTCCGATCGGTTCACTAGGGTTACCTGCCTCAGCGCTGTGGCTTGGGGGCTGCAAATTAAATGAAAGTATTCTTCCAGATATTCTTCCCATTTCTACTGCACATAATAATTCTCATAAGATTTGGGGCAAAACTAAGACCAGCCAATGGAAAATGAAATTTAATGGGAAAAAGTATTTCACATTGTAACTGGTTATTACGATAATGCCTCTACACAAACTAATTCGTAAATAGTCATTATGATAATTCCTCTATACTTTTTGGTGCTTTTTTCTTGTGTGTGTGTGTGTGTGTGTATTAATGCCTATGTGCGTGGCTCTGTGTGGGAGCTAATTCTGGAGTGTATGGGTGTATTTATGCAATTCAGTCATTACTAAGGAGAACAGTCATCCTGCTATGTGTCACAGCAGAGATAGGGTTAAACTTAAAGTGCACAAGACCAGACATCTGATTCTATCACAGAGACTCTACCTCCCAGTGCTGCCCGTGTCTCTGATCAGCGTCGCCATGACACCTCTGGGGCGTACCAGTGCCATACGCCCTGTTAGGACCTAATTAAGTCTTTACAAGATCCTCAGTTTTCCCCCTCCATCAGGGTAATCAGTGTTGTCACCCCCGCAAGCAGATCTGCGCTCTTCGAAAGAGCTGCTTCTTTGGTCTCCTCCCAGATGCATACCCAAAAACAGAGATGATCTACACTTGGACAAAAGGACCGCAGCATTCAGTGGAGGTTCCCCCGGAGTCGTCCAGCCTGGTGCAGTACGACCTGATTGGACAGACGGTGTCCAGTGAAACAGTGAAATCGATAACAGGTAGCAGCCCAGATTCAGGGACATTTTGACACTATCATGGTGGTTGGTGAACATCTTAGGACAATGGGTGCCTCCGAGACAACAATAATAATAAAAATCTGTAGATATTTAAATCTATATCCTTTTGTATAACTGAAAAACCTCAATGGATGGATAATTATCATTGGTTTAGCAGTTAAAATAATTACTACAGCTCGACATAAGTGTGTAAATATGAGACTGTGTAATAGACACATAACTGATCATTTTTGTTTGCCTTTCCCTTTTGGTTTCTGTGTGTTGGTGGCCCTAACTGACTCGTTTGATCACCTCCCAGGTGAATACGTGGTGATGACCGTGTACTTCCACCTGAAGCGGAAAATGGGCTATTTCATGATCCAGACATACATCCCCTGCATCATGACAGTAATCCTCTCACAAGTGTCCTTCTGGATAAACAAAGAATCCGTCCCTGCCAGAACCGTCTTTGGTATGTATTATGTGTCGGAGTCTCGGAGAGGCAGAGTTACTGGTTTTATGTAAATCTCACTGTCGTAGCATTTTCACTGTCTTTTCAGCCTTATACTCAGTATCAGTTTCCAGCTGAGTTCAGCTTAAACTGGTTTCTCCGTTTGCAGTGACCCTTTTGTCTGATAGGATCCCGGAGGCTGTTGTCAGCCACTCGACACCCTATTCATGTCAGATTATCTGCTTAATAAACCATTACCTTCGCAGGTTTATTTCAGCCTGATTTTTTGCCCGTCTGGCCACTTGCTTCCTCATTTCCCCCCTGCCTTGTTCTGAAACATCCTTACAAAGAGTATATTTGTTTTTTTCTTCCCAGCAGTGTTGCAGTATTACATAATATGTAATTATAATTGGTGATATATTTTTACTTTTCTGCATGTAGCAAAATAACATTGTATCTCTCATTGGAAAGAACGCACATTTTAGATTCAAACGCACATCTCGTCCTGCTTCCTATGAATACGTGAGCTTATACTGTGTGAATACACATTTGACAGAATCTTTCGGATATCAAAACCACTCTCTAGGAACAGTGAATCGATGCTCGTGGTAAATGCAGACGAAAACGAATCATATTTTAATTGCCTGATCATTCTGTATGTCTTAGAGGGGAAAATTTTGCATGGTTAAGTGCTTAAGTAAAGGCAGATTTTAAAGAAATCATTGTGCAAGGCTGCATGTTTGGCTGCCTCCAATTACGCCGTTCTCGAATAATTTAGCCTTTAGCGTATCTTCTCTGTTCAGCAGTGTGTTCAGAAGGGTATTTCTGGCCGTGCAACGTACAATACTGGGAGTTTGGAAGCAGAGGTGACTCGTAAATTGTGCACAAGGGCAGCACCACAACCAGTCTAAACATCCGATGTTTTATTGTCCTTGCGGTGTAGAAACTCGAGTGACTCCCTTTATTGGCTCAAGGCCCCCTGTCTCTGCTCACTGTCCATGGCCCATGTAGCCTTTCTGCTCTTCCCTCTGCATCCGAAGCATAGCCATACCTAGACATGATACTCTGCTTATTCCAGCGGCATTACGGGTGAAGGCGGAACTCCCTCTGGTGGCCATTGGAGACATTGCAATTCCGTCTTAGCGATACTGGGGAGGGGGGTGGATGTGGGGAGCTGGGAGGGGAGAGTGCAGGAGCGGACTGCCTCCTAACAGCATGCGAGCGATGTGGAGAGTGCTCTCCCACCCTGTCACCTGTGTCCAGCACTGCTCGGCCAGTGAGCACATTGCATATTATGGGCTGTAATTGCGTTGGCCGCGGTTCTGCTGCAAACCTTCCCCCTGCTATTTATGGTACGCATCCACATATTGCCGCCCCGGAGGGCAAGTACAGTTGGCCGTGTGCTGAGCAGAATCCATTCCGATGTATTATCCCATACTCATCTTGCTGTCGTCTCTCTCCTTTATTTTCTTTCTCTAACACAATGGCACAAATGCTTCCTAAAAACCACAGGCCAAGGCTGAGGAGATATTTCGGACGCTCCCGGTCTCCGGAGAGTTTTCCTTGCTCCAGGCATTGTGCTGAGGATTTTGCCATAATAGTACAGACTCAGAGTTTCTAATAAAAAAGGCATCAGCAGTAATATGATTATAGTTTTTTTTTTTGGAAAAACCTTTTCTTCTTTTGTTTTTCTCTTTGGTTAATGACCTAATGACGCCTCCATTAGCCCTGTGCCGTTGTCTGTGTCATTGCCTGTGTAAATGCTCAGGCTTGCCGCAGAACCTCTGCTTGCCTCGCCTGTGATCTTGCTTCTCAGCAGAGGTTGTCACCATCTTGGACGTGTCTCGGCTAAGTATCTGCGTCTCTCGTGTTTCAGTTGTCCTCAGACTTTATGCGTGACTGCCCCGGGTCACAAACTACATCTATATGAATCATGTCAAGAGCAGTCGTGAGGGGATGTAAAGGAACAGGAAATGGGACAAGCTAGATGAATATCAGACGTACCGTTCACTTGTGCCCTTCTGCGGTTTTTTATGATCAGTAGCCTTTTGATTCTTTTAGCGGAATCATTTTTTGTAGGTGATGGCGAAGGTCTGTTCTTTAAATTCTACAATCAGAGTCCCATAACTGCTTAACGAGTATTGTGGTGTTTATTGCATGGCAGATCTCCTTTAATTAAGACGAGATAAACTATATTGATCCCAAGGGGAAATTCTCGATTTCGTAATTGCAAAGATAATACTTCCCAATTCTTTTTTTTTTTCTGTGCTTCTGAAAGCATAAAGCCTTTTCATCTTGGGCTCATACATGATACCCAGGATAATTGCGTAACACAAGTAGTTCTGTGTTTTTTGTGTTTATGTGCAATTAAAACTGCCAAAGGGCCGCTATTAATTTCATGTGTGAAGCAGAACTTCCATAAAACGTGATTTATGTGAGCAAAGCAATAGCTGCATATTTACTAGTAATTTTTTAATTAAAATTTTTTTAACTCAGACTTGAACCAGTTGCATGGGAGTGATATATATATATATATATATATATGAAATATTTTCAATAAATACATGTGACTGTCAAAACAAAGAAAGTACTGCAGCTAATGAGGAATTCAAAGTATATTGGAAGCAGGTGCGTCTGTACAGGTGTGATTTCTCAGTTAATTAAGCAGTGAAATCCTGTCATGTATAAAATATCTGGGCTGGCCCAGTTGCTCATTAATTTGACTGTATAAAGAGATGTCATTGGCTTTGACAGATCTGAGTATTAGGGTTCATTTGGCAGGTGCTTCAATGATGTTCAGCCAAGGGTTCATGAAGTACAGCAGCTAGGAGGATGAAGCGACTGGCTATAGCAAGTCTGAGATCTAGGGGGGTTGTGGGGGGGGGGGTCCATGCATTGTTTAGGGATGTACAGATAAAGCAGATGCGAATCTGCTCAATGCAAACATCAGTCTGAAGTATAGGCGCCGTCATTAAGTACAATCCGTTGAAAATCCGAACAGAAGGGAATGTTACGGTCAGCTCACAGCACATAAGCCCCATAATTATCTGGAAATGCATCTTATTTGTCAGTGATTTGGTGCAAAGAAACAAATAAACAGTCGTCCACTGACCAGTGGAAATGTAAACCTGGCCAGATGATCTTCCACTCATCTGTCACACTGTCCTCGACTAGCAGATGAGTACATGTGCGGCACACAGGCCTGCCTGCTTGTCATCACACTGAGAAAGGTTCTGTCAGCTCTGTCACGGCAAGGGGTCCATTTTCCCTGAGGTCCAATCAGTCCCTTTAGCAGCAAATAAAGCATCAATAAATATGAAGCCACTCTGACTGACCGTGTCCACCCTGTACTGATGTATTTTTAGCCCGTGGGAGTGGAATGTTCACGTTGGCCCTATTCGGAGATAAGAGTGACCACGGAATAGTGTGATGAAAACATCCACTCTAGATTCCCAGGAGACCTTTATCTTCAAAGCGTTCCTCCAAAATTTTCAGGAGACCTTCACCCAAACCTGGAACCCCAGAGCGCACTTACCCGAGCAGATAAACCCAGAGGAAAGATTTAACTTTCACACCATTACCGCAGGATAATGAAGGTCCACCTTTCCTTCTCCATAGACTTATATTAAAAGGTTTAACATGTGATTTCATCCCCTTCTCGAAACAGAATGTCTTGTCAGTGTCTTGCCCTGTTTTTGTCTCAGGTATGGCGCGGGTTCTCACGGAAGGCTGCGTTTCTCTGCACGTTTTATGGAGCGCGCTGCATTTCTAGCATATTGAAAGGCTGAAGGACAGCATCGCTCGGTGGGGGACAGAGATCTCAGCGGAGAGCGTCATTATGCCACAGTGTGGCAGGACGTCATTGCCGTACGAGCTCCTCTTCGGAGAGGCGTTCTGCCTTGCCGAACTCTTAAAGCTGCAGGTTTTTCTTATCCTGCGATAGTTAGCTGTCAGGCTTCCGGTGGCGATGAACACAGATGGTACTGTTCGCCTTCCCTGCTTTTCTAGAACTTAAACTGTTACATGTATTGATTCCTCGGTAAACCAGCAGAGCAAGGAAGAATGAGTTACATCCATCCCCCCATCGTCGAGTATGGGGTAGTGGTGAACATGTGATGTTTTTTCTGGAAGCGGGCAGGGATAGGGCGAAAATACTGAGTGCCATCAACAGGTCGTAACGTAGACTGTCATCGGTCTGTATGTCGTGCTGGACATTATGGGGATGGTAGATACATCACTGTATATGTAGGTACTCTTGTTGAGGAGAAATGGAGGGTGTTGGATCATAGAAAATTACAGGGTGTCACCGACTGTTTCAACAAGCACAGTTAAAGAGTGTGAGACTTTACCCGTGGTATCAATCACTTGTATTCTTTTCCGTGTCCCCCTCCCCCAACTACATATTCAGTCTGTTTCCAAAAAGCCCAGATGTCAGTATCCTGTCCTGAGCTTAAGTTCTGTTCCGTTTTCTGTGCCCCCACATGGGGAGGTGTCTCAGTGGATTCGGATGCTGTACCTGTGATCGCAGGGTTGTTGGTTCAAATCCCACAGGCGGTAGGTTGGTGTCACTATTGGGCCATTGAGTGAGGTCCTAAACCCCGCTCACTCCTGGGATTGCCTGCTGTTTCTGTGGATAAAAGCTGCCTGTTGTTCTGAACTGAAATGAGCCTTGCGAAGTTTCCTGCTGACATCTGAATGCTGCTGAGTCCCGGGGCGTTATTTTACCAGTCAGAAGACTGTTCACATTTTCTGGAAGGGTTTAGCTCAGGCTGGAGAACTGGAACACTACTCCAAACACACCAAACGAGTGTTTTGTGGCAAAGCTTTGATTTTCTTGTCCCACAAGCTCTCGAGGGAATAACCGCAGAATGCGGTTTGACACACGATCCACTAAGCTGTTTATTTACCGTTGTTTTCGTTGTCTGACAGCCTCTCCTGACGCATTGCCTTTTAGCGAGTACACAGAAGTTTTCGGGCAGTTCCTTCATCTTACTTCAAGAGAAATGTGGCAAATGGTATTTTTCTGCATGGAAAGAGTGCAGTGACACCCCATGAGCCGTCAGGGTGATGGATTAAAAGCCGACTGTCCTGGACTGATGATGATATTTGACTGCTACTTTTCGCATATAAGGAACCATGTTCAGTTTTACTCCTCTATTCTGCCTGAGGAAAACAGCACATTACAAATCACAAGCTGTGTTTTTTTTCCACTACCCTCAGACTGGAGGACTTGGGTCTGCTTTGACATGTAAATAGCTCTTTAAATGTGCTGAACATCCAGGTGTTAGAAGGTCGGGGGGAGGTCTGAGGGGAATGCTTCGGTTTGGGTCTGGCTTAAGGTGCAGAAACTCACGTTGCAGAACTGCAATTAATCAATTACAGTAACGAGGAAGAGGTCGCTGAAGGAATGGGGAGTTTCCTCAACCGTAATCTCACAAATCTCCCCTAACAGTCTTACTCCACAACCTGACACGTATTTCTTGTGGATACTTTCGTTCTATTTCAAGGCTTAATGAGACAGAAAAGGTCCCTTTTGGGGGTTACTCTGAGAGCAGAGTCAGAGCGGTCCGCGAAGGTAAACGAGAAGATGTGGACTTTCCCCACCGCGCCTTTCATAAATCATTTCCAAGGAGCATTTGGGCCCATCCGCCACTTCCCAATATTGTCGTGCTCCCGGCTCGCCTAATGAAAACTGCACGGTGACAGAAAGGCGAGTTCAGTGGCAGTTCACTGCGCATGTGAGCTTACCTTCCGGATTATACCGCTCCTGCTCTTCTGCTCCGAAACAATGATTCATGTTTTCAAGGCTGTATGAGGACCCGGTGCTATATAAAACATAATTATAAAAGTATACAAGTATAAAACAGGCACAACTACTGAGTCATAATGGTTATGTAAGTATAATATACTGTACATCCATCCATAATTAGAATACGTAGCATTGCACTGTACGAGAATTTTGGCACGTATTCTCTTCAAATGGTCTGTTTATTAGTATTGTAAGTATTGTTTACACATATAGTCACAAATACAGTATATGAATATAGCGAAATATAGCCAATGCCTTTCCTCTAACCCAGGCTGACTGAACACACACCACAGAGTTTTCTTATACTTCATCAAGTCGTAATCCACTGTAACACCTCCATAATCCCACCCACGCTCCGCTACCCCCCACTTCCTGATTAACGGTGATCCCCACGATAGCCAACGGAACAGCACAAATTTGTAGTAAATGCTGTTTTTCTTCATTTGTTTTATCCCCACGTTTGCATTTTGCATCCAGTGTCACGCAGTAGCGCGTGATCTGCAGCATATCGGGGGAAGAGATGAATCTCATTATCTTTCCCAGACTTCTTTGCCGTCAGGAAAGGTCTCTGTTTCTCCGGAGAATGCAGCACCTCATGATGCAGTGGGATAGTTACGGAGGCCGTCAGCTGTGTAGGAAGATTTCGGTTTCATTTCTAAATTCATGTTTGAAACTTATGAGCCAGTACTTGGTATCGATATAGAGGTTTGTCCTCAAATCGATTTTCTGAGAGCGGGTTCTGAGCTCGCTGCCCACTCAGCCCTCTGCTCTCCTGCTCCAGGGATCACGACCGTGCTGACCATGACCACGCTCAGCATCAGCGCCCGCCACTCCCTGCCCAAGGTCTCCTACGCCACCGCCATGGACTGGTTCATCGCCGTCTGCTTTGCCTTCGTCTTCTCCGCCCTCATCGAGTTCGCCGCCGTCAACTACTTCACCAACGCGGAAGCGGAGAGGACAAAAAAGAAACCAGCCAAGTGTCCCCCGGCACCCAAATCCGTGTCGGCGAAGGTCCCCGATACGGAGGAGGTGCTGCTGGTAGGTGTCTTCATGTTTGGTTACTGCCCAGGTTCAGGGATGGCAGAGAGCCACTTCTGTTATGGCCTGAAACCAGAGAAATGAACCTTATCCAGTTTTTATATAAATCATAGTTTTACTTTGCAGTGCACCTTCCATCCGGTAATAGTAACAATAGTAATAATAAAAACAACGAAAAAAACACAGCACCAGCAACAACAACAACAACACAGCAACAACAACACAGCAAGAACAACGACAACACAGCAACAACAACACAGTAACAGCAACACAGCAACAGCCACAACAACAACACAGCAAGAGTAACAACAACAACACAACAACAGTACAAAACACGTCACTTGGAATTTTGTATTTTTATTGCTGTTGTTGTTGATTTCTTGGCATTTTCACACAGATTAAGTCATTTCAAGCACCGGCCATGAGCGTGATGAAGGTGTCTGTGAAAAATGATTATGGTTATTAAAGAGTTCAGCTGCATTAAGAGAAAGTGCTGCCACACAGGTTCCCAAATTAGGTCCTCCAGACTGAAAATAGACAGCTGTGCTGAGTCCAAGGCACTGGATTTCATAAAAAAGGGCAGTTCCATTCAGCGTCGCTGGTTTTTGCATTCATCACATAGTTCTATACAGTTGATATGAATTAACGTGTGATTTGATTTTTTAAATATATATATGTAGTGTCTTTCCGAAAGAAGCTTGTCACAAAATGCAACTTCACAAGTGGATTTGATACGAATTAAGAAATAGCATCGGGGAGAGACACAATTGTGCTTAATGTCTGAGAGGAAACGCAGACTAGTCTAGTTAAAGCATAAAATAAAGGTGGAGTATGTGTTATGCGTCATACATAAATCGGATTCTAACCAAATTTAATAAAATAAAAAGCGTTTATCTGATGTGAAGCACCAGGAGCTGCAATCACCACACGTGCTTAAATAATGATTATCTAGCTGATTGCAGAAACATAGTAATTGAGAGGATTGTTCGAGGGGAAAACCTGCGTGCACATTTTGAGGACGGACTCACGGGCTGCTCTGAGTGAAAATGGGGCGAGGTGCGGGGTGGGGGCGCTTTTGTGTGACTCGGAGGAGCAGATATACTCTTTTATGGACACCGGGGAGTGCTGACTTTAGATCACGGACACGTTCCCAGTGCTGCTGTGAGCTCGGCCATCCATCACATTTACATGCATGTAGCTGTGGCTTCTGGAGTGTAGGGGGGCTGTCAATTTCACTCTGTCCTTTTCTGTACTTTCTGATACTGTGTTTGATCCATCCATTCATCATCCCATTCGTCCATCCATCCATTCAGCATCCCAGCCATCCATCCATTCAGCATCCCAGCCATCCATCCAATCAGCATCCCATTCGTCCATCCAGCCATCCATCCAATCAGCATCCCATTCGTCCATCCAGCCATCCATCCATTCAGCATCCCAGCCATCCATCCATTGATCATCCCATTCGTCCATCCAGCCATTCATCCATTCAGCATCCCAGCCATCCATCCAATCAGCATCCCATTCGTCCATCCATCCATCTGTCCATCCCTCCGTCCAGGAGCAGAGGAGGCCTAATGGTTAGGGAAGCGCACTTGTAGTTGAAAGATTGCTGGTATGAATCCCCGACCATCAAGGCACCACTGAGGTACCCTGAGTAAGGTACCGCCCCCAAGCACTGCTCCCCGGGCGCTGAATTAGCTGCCCCCTGCTATTTCACGATGTCACATATGGGTTAAATTCAAAGGACACATTTCGTTGTTGTGCACTGTGTGCTGTGTTGTGTCAACAATAATCACTGATCGCCAAATTCCGTCCATCCATCCATCTTCTAATTGCTTAGGTCAGGGTCATAGTTGGTCTAGAGCCTATTCCAGGCAGCTCAGGGCTGGGGTACATCCTGGATGGGGGGCCAGTCCATCACAGGGCACGGGGCTGGGATACACCCTGGACGGGATGCCAGTCCGTCGCAGGGCACGGGGCTGGGATACACCCTGGACGGGATGCCAGTCCGTCACAGGGCACGGGGCTGGGATACACCCTGGACTGGATGCCAGTCCATCGCAGGGCACGGGGCTGGGATACACCCTGAATGGGAGGCCAGTCAATCGCAGGTTACAGGGCTGGGATACACCCTGGACGGGATGCCAGTCCGTCGCAGGGCACGGGGCTGGGATACACCCTGGATGGGAGGCCAGTCAATCGCAGGTTACAGGGCTGGGATTCACCCTGGACGGGATGCCAGTACATCGCAGGGCACGGGGCTGGGATACACCCTGGATGGGAGGCCAGTCAATCGCGGGGCACATATATGCAGACACACAGTCGTACACTTTGAGCAATTTAAGGATGACGCAGCATCCCATGAATGGTAAAAAATGCAACTAGGCAGTTCTGTGGTTTTCGACAAGATGGATGTGAATTTGTAGGTCAATGACTAGCAGGGGGGGGGTGATTGCTCTCTGAATGCGTCAGGTGCATAATTAGATCAGCGTACGCATGTATACCATGGCTAGAAGTGAAATCTGTCTTACCATTTAAGATCTTTGTTATACTTCATGGTAAATGGGGGCCGATGACCTACTTTTTGGCCCCCTGGAAACGCTGAGAGCTGTAGTGTAGATTCATCCCCTAGATTAGAATTATGTTGCACTCTGCTGGCTTCAAGCTTGCAGTCGGTGTGACGTATTAAGCAGACCGCCAAAATACCTCCCGATTAACCCCTTTAAAAATTCAGATGCGATGTTTTAAAACAGTAATCATAAATGTGATCTTGCAGATTTTTGTGGATGATTTTTCTGTATGGGTATCGAGTCAGGTTTTAATTTTTTGGGGGAAAAAATATCCATTTCCCTCTCGTTTTCGTGCAGATGAACTGAAAATCCCGACGCTGAGCGATGGCGATCACATGCTGTTTAATGCCCTCACTGCTACTATGGATTAGGGTGTTGTCATGGAAACGGGGCCACTGCGCATCTGTATGAGTTTCCAGCTCTTTGGCGCGGGGCAGCATGGCTGCCTGCCGGGGGGGGGGGGGGGGGGGGGGGGGGGGGGCTGGGGGGGTGGCCTCCAACAGGGCAGGCCTTCTGCTGACCCCCCGCCTCCCCCCCTTGGCGAAGGTAACGTGAATCTGCACACCACCCCAGGTTGATCGCACTTAGTATTTATTCATAGTATTTATTTATTAGTTGACAAACAAACACTGTCCTGGGGGGGGGAGGTGTGACACGGGTGGCCACCCCTGCTCGTAACACCTTTCAGGCACGGCATGTAAACAGATTAAACACGATGCTCTCATCCAAGAGTGAGGCTGGTCATATAAATGATATTCACTGCACACGCCCCTCCAGTAACTCTGGCTGATGGGGAAGCAGGATGGGTCCGTTTCCGACGCCCCAAAGCTGAGATGGCGTCGCTTATACTGGTAATTCATTTCCATTCTATTCCAAATAATGGAAGGCTCACTGCCCCCTCTGCCCACCCCACATCACACATGTATTGGTCCACAGCAGAGCTCTAATGAACTGACGTTTCCCCCACCTCTGGGATGTGTCATAGTCAGACGTCTTCAGCTCTGTTACCCTCAGACTTTAGCGAGGGGGGGCTCTGTGCCTAATACCCACCCGTGTTTCTATAAATGAAGATGCCTGTGATTTATTCTGCTTAAAAAAAAAACTAAGAAAAAAAAACTCACTTTTTAAAAAAATCATTGTGATTACAAAAAGCTGGTCCGCCTCTGCATCCTGCCAGCACACGGAGACTAATGCATGAGAGTCGAAATTGCAATTAATTGGAAAGACCAGCGTTGCTCTACGTTCTACACTTTGCACCTGTACATAAGCGGTTGGTTGTTACCCAATATGTCGACGATAGGTTGATAGGTATGTTTGCACCAGATACCATACGCAAAGCAATATGTCATTTTATTGCCCCCCACATGCAAACGTCCAACTCAAATGTATATATTCGTGTGTGTGTGTTATGCAGCACTCCAAGTATAGGTTATAGATTACATTTGTTTTATTGTGTTATATTGGTCTTCATATGCAATCTTTTTAAATTAACATCTGCATCCAGTGAGAGATAATATTGAAAATGCGGCATTGAACAAACCAAACATTGAAATTTCTAAAAGTACTTATCATGCTTCATTTGCAAGTCAGGAAATGAAAACCAGATATAAGTGTGATTTTTCTCTCCCTAATAAGGGGAGTGCAGTTTTTTTTCCAAGGGGAATCTGTTTATTACAGTATGCAAAGCAGAAAATGAACAACGTTTATCCCCGGTAGAGCTAAAATACTTTCTTTTTTTCAAATATATAAAAACAGTTTAAACCAATCATAATTGTAGTAATAATGAAAGTTCTTTTTAAAAACAGGAATATATATATATACTGTATATATATATAGATATATATATATATATATATGATGTCTAGACATGGTCCTTAAATGTCCGGAAATTCCAAAATTGAGCTGTGTGATTAGCCCCTCCTTCCTAATGANAACAGGGCAGGCCTTCTGCTGACCCCCCGCCTCCCCCCCTTGGCGAAGGAAACGTGAATCTGCACACCACCCCAGGTTGATCGCACTTAGTATTTATTCATAGTATTTATTTATTAGTTGACAAACAAACACTGTCCTGGGGGGGGGAGGTGTGACACGGGTGGCCACCCCTGCTCGTAACACCTTTCAGGCACGGCATGTAAACAGATTAAACACGATGCTCTCATCCAAGAGTGAGGCTGGTCATATAAATGATATTCACTGCACACGCCCCTCCAGTAACTCTGGCTGATGGGGAAGCAGGATGGGTCCGTTTCCGACGCCCCAAAGCTGAGATGGCGTCGCTTATACTGGTAATTCATTTCCATTCTATTCCAAATAATGGAAGGCTCACTGCCCCCTCTGCCCACCCCACATCACACATGTATTGGTCCACAGCAGAGCTCTAATGAACTGACGTTTCCCCCACCTCTGGGATGTGTCATAGTCAGACGTCTTCAGCTCTGTTACCCTCAGACTTTAGCGAGGGGGGGCTCTGTGCCTAATACCCACCCGTGTTTCTATAAATGAAGATGCCTGTGATTTATTCTGCTTAAAAAAAAAACTAAGAAAAAAAAACTCACTTTTTAAAAAAATCATTGTGATTACAAAAAGCTGGTCCGCCTCTGCATCCTGCCAGCACACGGAGACTAATGCATGAGAGTCGAAATTGCAATTAATTGGAAAGACCAGCGTTGCTCTACGTTCTACACTTTGCACCTGTACATAAGCGGTTGGTTGTTACCCAATATGTCGACGATAGGTTGATAGGTATGTTTGCACCAGATACCATACGCAAAGCAATATGTCATTTTATTGCCCCCCACATGCAAACGTCCAACTCAAATGTATATATTCGTGTGTGTGTGTTATGCAGCACTCCAAGTATAGGTTATAGATTACATTTGTTTTATTGTGTTATATTGGTCTTCATATGCAATCTTTTTAAATTAACATCTGCATCCAGTGAGAGATAATATTGAAAATGCGGCATTGAACAAACCAAACATTGAAATTTCTAAAAGTACTTATCATGCTTCATTTGCAAGTCAGGAAATGAAAACCAGATATAAGTGTGATTTTTCTCTCCCTAATAAGGGGAGTGCAGTTTTTTTTCCAAGGGGAATCTGTTTATTACAGTATGCAAAGCAGAAAATGAACAACGTTTATCCCCGGTAGAGCTAAAATACTTTCTTTTTTTCAAATATATAAAAACAGTTTAAACCAATCATAATTGTAGTAATAATGAAAGTTCTTTTTAAAAACAGGAATATATATATATACTGTATATATATATAGATATATATATATATATATATGATGTCTAGACATGGTCCTTAAATGTCCGGAAATTCCAAAATTGAGCTGTGTGATTAGCCCCTCCTTCCTAATGAACACTGTACCTTTGACTGTGACCCTGCAGAGCAGACCTCCATCCATCTGTTTCCGCTCATGTTTACTGAAAACACGCTTCTGTCTCCACAGCAGCAGAATCCAGACACGAACGGAAACCTGCGCAAACGAATGAACTTCGTGACCCAGACGTGCGTGAACAGCAGCCCGAGAACTGACCCCGGCGGCGGGAATTCGGGGGGGAGCACCAGCTCCTCGGGGGTGGGACAGGCGTCACTGGGAACCACGACGGCCGCGGCGTCCGCCGTGCCTCCCGCCAGCCTATCACACACCAGCCCCAACCCTTTCAGCCAATCCACCCTGACCGCCAAGAACACGCCGCCGGCCCCGCCCTCTACGCCCACGCTCATTGGCTGTGCCGCCACCAACGTTTATGTGAGCTCCTCCTCCCTCCAGACCCTGCTGGGGCCCAAGCTTGAGCACATCCAGACGACAGGAAGCAAAGTGGACCTAATACAGGCCGTACCCCCACCTGCATCAGGATCCAGTGGAACCAGCAAAATTGACAAGTATGCACGCATTCTTTTCCCAGTGTCCTTTGGGGCTTTTAACATGGTCTACTGGGTGGTCTACCTATCAAAGGACACTATGGAGTCCAGAAATGGCTAGTCTTTACCTGGCACCCATGCCGTTTATTTTTTTCTATTACATAATGCAAACTTTAAAACAAGAAGTCTAATTTCAAGTGGCTTACGTATTCTAGTTTGTGAGTACTATTAGACATTTCTCAACATTGAAAGTAAAGAATGCTTAAAAAAATAGATGAACCAAAAAAAGACCTACAACATCCATTCATATGTTGTCAAAATGTCATTGAAAATGAGCATGTAAAAGAAAATAATTCCCGAGACTGGAATTGTATTAATTACTGTAGGCTCTATGTTCTCAATGGATGTAGTTGGGTGTAAGTGTGAAAATTTAATCCAGCAATATTCCTTAATATTCCTTTTTCGGGTGTAAGGCAGGATGGTTGGCATTTTAATATGGGGAAAAACATGCAGAAGTATGTTAATTTAGCAGAAATGTATTTCTAAGAAAATAAACATCAACTGATATGTATTTATACTGTAGGGAGGATACATTTCATATAACCCAATAGAAAGTTACCTTTCAAGCAAATTCATGAGTGCTTTGTGTTGCATTTTTCATTTCAGTTTGCGATATACTTCTGAGAATGTGCAACGAACACTTTTGAACAAATTTTCCTATGTTTGACGTGATACTGTATTCTTGACCTATATAATGTTGTCCCATTCCCTGTTTGAGGTCATAAACCTCATTTTTAATTTTCATATTAAGGGCTTCGATTAAGCAGCATCAGTAAAGCATATCAATACAGTCCAAAATGCATGTTCACTGAGCAACAAGTGAACGTGGGTGGTTTCCATATGACCTTGAGGGCCATTTGCATAGAAAATTTGTGTCTCGCCTGGTTCGGTGGCTGGAAATGGACCTCGGAGAAAGAGAACGCATCTCCTCAGCATCAGAGCCTTTTTCTGGGTTTTGACCTGCTTGTACCAGCTTGTTCGAAGGTCGTGATTGGACCTCACGATGTAAACTCAATCACGGTGAAGAAGAACGGCTCCATACTCCTTTAGAGTGTCTTACTCATATCTTTCCACTCCACCAGCTCAGCACTAGATAGCTAAACCCTATAACCAGACATACACTTGCAGTGACGATAATTAATTGGTAAGATTTATAATTCAGAAAGTTGCATGGACTAGTCACGTCCCATTGATAGGATGTAGTACAATGGCCACCAATATACGTTCTGGCCTTGACCAAGTACTAAGTATTCTTTATGGGCGGGGGGTGTAATGGTGTTTAACCCTGGTTAGTAGTTACTAAGACCTGCTGGCTAGCTTCTGAGGTATCTGTAGGTAGGATGAGTGATTCCAAAATTATGGTTTGTACTGGGGAAAAAAATCCATGTGTTTTGCTCTTTTCTTTTAAATGGAACTTCTCACTATGAGAAGTTATTACGCTCCACGTGACCCAAGTACAGAACAGTGTAAAATCCTCAATTAAACAAATACTCATGCCGGTCGTCAAAATGCGTAAAAATAGCGTGAAACATTTGATATGCTAACAGTCAAATATGCCATTCTGAGGCAAATACACTTGGAAAATAATGTTAGCTGATGCCACTGCAGTAGTCGCTAATTAGCTAGCTAGAAGAAGAGTTATCCAGAATTGCCATTGAGATGTTTTTATAGCCCCCGCATCAGCTATATTAGGGCCTAAAGAGGACGGTCTGGGGGGGGGGGTAATGGGTGGTGGAATAGATGGGCTTAAGCAGTCACTGGGTCAGGCGGTCAGAAAGTCAGCGGGGGCATTTGTCTGTTTCGGGTAGCTGGCTCTTCATGGGGTAACCAAGTGTTTCTGAATCCATGCGTGCGTGAAATTGCTTTTTCCATTTCCGCACCCTCTCATACCTTGTCCCACTATTAGAGGACATTAAGCCATTTCTGCTCTTGTAGCTGTTTTAGATGGACTATACCTTATGGACTATAGTCTTGGTAGTACCACCCATGCATGGGGGCACAGAAGTAATGACTGACTTCAGAGCCAGTGAACCCTCAGAGATGATGTATTTTCATAACTCGTTCAACCAATACTAACATCCCTGTTCATTAAGCACCGGTCCTAATGTCATTCAGGCTGTTCATCCAGTTACTGATGGCTTTGTGCTTTTCATATAATGCTAGCGTATCTCAGCATTCCCTTTTAAAGCTAATGCTAACGTTTCTGTGGTTGTTCATCCAGTACTAATGTTGATCAGGCTGTTATTTAAGTGCCGGGGCTAATGTGCATCCAGCTGTTTGTCCTGAATTAGCACCTTCATGCTATAGGTCTAACACTAACTTCCCTCTAGCTAAGATCTAGCATTAGATCTGGCTCAGATCTAATGCTAACATGCTAACATTCCTCAGGCTGCTCATTCAATACTAATGGCTTCACGCTGTTCATATAATGCTCCCTAACTTTGGTAAGTTGTTTCAGGATTTTCATTTGCAGCTAATGCTAACATTTCTCTGGCTCATCATCCGGTATTAACGTCAATCGGGCTGTTATTTATGCACCAGTGCTAATGTCACTTGAGCCACTCATCGCTTATCAAGTTCCACACGCGATACATGTAACAGCAGCTTCTTTCAAAGCTTATGCTAACATTCCTCAGGCTGTTCATCCAGTACTAATGTCCTTAGGCTGTTCATTAAGCCCTAGCGCTAATGTCACATGGGCTATTCATCTGACATTCAAGCCCTTATGTTGTCCATTTAACGCTAACTTTCCTCGGGCTGTTCATGCAACCCTAACATAATGCAGGATCCATCCAGCATTAATTCTAACATCCCTCACACTGTTCATCCACACAGTTACATTGCAATGCTGTATTAGCCTTTTAGCAGAGTGTTAGTCAGCAGGTCTTCTATTGTAAGCCCAGTGGTCTTTTTTCTCCATAAGGTTCTCATTAGAATGTGTTAGTCCCACACAGTCTTATGTAACACGTTTCAGAAACGGTAACACAATCTATACAAGACACAGGCAGAAAAATCTTTGACCCGTCTAAATGTTTGACTCACACATACAAGGGAAAGTAACGGACTGATGACTTTTCTCTCCGACAGCTGTTAATCTGTCTTAATGTAGAATTCTTTGGATCATCCGGATGGATTCTTTCTCCTTTGAAGTAACATCATCGAGAGAATGTTTTCTGACCAAGCGGGTTTTCTATAAAGGTGTCAAGGAGATTGTTGCCCAAGTCAATAATGAAAAAGGTAATAGACACATTTGTCATCTGACAGGTTCTCACTTTTCATCTTTGCAATCTAATAAGTAAAGAAAAAAATTTTCTTTGTCTGCGCTGTTCCTTTGGTCATTTTTTAGGGTTGTTATTTTGTTTGGTTTTTAAAGCAAACGGCTCGGTTTTTTTTTCTAGCACATGATGAGAGAACATGTCAAACGATATTTATTTAATTGTTCAACTCAACAGATGTTTGTTTGTTTTTGTTTGATGGAGCTCGTACATGAAGTTCAGGTAATAAAACTTTCTGCTAACCACTCGTTGCTCCCTCTACCGCTGTGAGGAGACCGTACTGATGGTTTCTACAGAACTTGTGTTACATTTTAAGCACAGAGGATGAGGGAGTTGTTCAAGATCCGACTGTCCTGATGCCGCACAGACAAATATTTGTCCTTCTCGCTTGCACGTTCAGCATCTATCTTCTCTTGGGCTGGCCCAAGGTCATGCGGCAGGGATGCAAGAGGGTGTTGCCTGGAAGGAGAATGTGAGAAGCCTTCAGACCTTCTCCTTTGTACATAATTAGCAATGACTGAAAGTCTCTGTAAGAAACGTTGACATTTAGTGTTTTGTAGTTAAATGAAGGAACACGAAAGACTGCCCTATGCAAGACAGCCTCCTTGGGGTCATTGTGAATAGGAGCCGGTACCTCCGGTGGGTTTTTAACGGTGAACACAACCAAATAAAGGACTGGAGTTGTAACAAATGTACACTCGTCTGTTATTTAGACCAATTATCATTACATTAATTTATCATTACCATTTGCATATGCTGGTCTTATATTCAATTTTTCAGCAAGCAATATACTGTATATCCAGCATAATTTGTAACTTACCATCGTCATTAAGACCAGACATTCTATCATCTTTACTTTTTAAGATGCCACTGACAGCCAGGAGATCTATCAGAAATTAATCTGACATGAGTGGCCATTCTCTAAATGCAATCGAACAAACCTTCACGAATAGCTTAGCAAAGTTTACGTAGGTAAGAAAGAAATATTGATAAACTACAAATATCAAAACCAGCAATGGCTGAGTGTGGATGTCTATAGGTGCATAATCTGCTGCTTTTGATTGGTTTATCATCAAAATGTCTGTCACCATACAGACTTGTTATCTTACTAAAAAGTAATCCATGGATGGATTGTACTTCAGTTATAAAAGGTAATGCACAATTTTTAGTAATACGAAAACTACTACCATGCTAATGCAAAGAGTAGGTTTGCATGATTTCTGTAAAATACAGTTGTAAAGATATACTAGACCTTACTACTACTACTAATTATTATTATTATTATTATTATTATTATTATTATTATGTATGATAACATAGCATGTAACAGTTTAAAATAAATAAATGATTATTATTATCATTGCATAATAATTCCTATATATTGACAATATATTATATATGATGCCATAATTAAATAATACATATACTATTATTATTGTTGTTATTATTATTATTATTATATGTGATGCTGTTACCACTGCTGCTACTATTAATAATAATCATTATAATAAAACAGAAGATCTAGATAGAAAATTTTATGTTATTTTTAGGTTATTTGCTGCTGCAATTTAACCCCAAATAATAGCAAAAGGTGTTTAAAATATTAAGACTAACACCATCCAAGACTGAACAACAACTACTGTAGTGTCACACGATATGAAAACCTCTAACAACATCAAAACATTGACACTCACCAATAACGCTTGCTCTGGAGTGACACTGTTGGATCTATTGAAACAGTTTAATCTTTTGTTTGATTTTTCATTATGTTTCAGAATGAGTAATTATTCAATGAAGCCTAGCTGGAGGCTGGCACTGTATGAGCCAAATCCATGGGTATTGTATCATCTCAGTATCCTATGTCCATTTAATTTGTGCGCTTCACATCCCATACAGCACAAAGTCTATTTCTGGCAGCAAATGCTATGTGTGTAAATACATTGTATGTGTGACTTTTATAGTACAATGCCCTATATCAGTGAATAAAACTCCAAACTCTATCTTCAAAACTGTCTCTATTACCCTACCTTGTAAGATTTGTCCTATTATTATTATTATTATTTGAAATCTTAAGCAAGGATGCTACCCTATACTGATACAGAGCGCTGGATGATGTCACCTTTCCTCTGATCACATGGCACCTGATAACCAGGAAATGCTACCATGGCGTCTGGCACAGAGAGCCATGCCAGCAAGCATTAAGAACGGAGAGGACACTATGCAGACAGATACATTTGCATATCAATTAAAAACCAATTAAGAAGCAGTTCTTAATGCAGGGTTGGGCTTCTATGTCGCTTATGTGATGAGAGTAGCGGCTTTAATTCCTGGAATAACCCTAAACCTCATATTATCCCATTGCTGGTCTGACATGTTCTGTATATCAGCAATATATGTTTTTGCAACTTTTTATTTAATCATTACCTGCATATAATGGCCCTGGAAAGTGTTATTATTCAGTGAAATCACTGTGTACATGGTAGACTGTCAACGCTACATTTAATTAAAGACAATATTGACATCGAGTTCCACTCCCGCTGAGGTGGCAAGCCATGTTTTAATTTGAACGGGATAATAACTTATTCCCACTAATATGCAAATCATAAAAGTAACGTTAGCACTTTCACGCTAGCGCCGTTAATTTAGCAGCTAACTTTCTACTTGGGAGATTTCTCTATAGTCGCCTCTGTGTTTTTCATTTCAAAGGGGCGGCGCGCTAGTTAGCACTGTCGCCTCACACCTCGGGGACTAGGGTTTGATTCCCTGCCCCCGCTCCATGTGTGTGGAGCTGGAATGTTCTCCCATCGTGAAGAATAACACTTTACGCGAGAGGACACAAATAGTGTAGCATTATACTATTACGTATGTATTAATTAACCACTAACTAAGACTTACTTTGGCCAACATACTGATCTCATATTCGTTCATCATTTATGTATCGTTGCACATCTTTTATCCCAAGCAGTTACTATATTTAATTCTGCAAACCTTTGTGAACTACTGACGGAACTACTAAGGAACTACTGAAGGAACTACTAGGAACTACTAAGGGACTACTGAAGGAACTACTAAAGGACTACTGGAGGAACTACTAAGGGACTACTGAAGGAACTACTAAGGGACTACTGAAGGAACATGCAATAAACAGGTTAAATATTGCTCATATTTGATCATTAATAAATCATGATGTATCTTATCAAGTAGTAGCTAATTTGTTCATGATTTGTACATCAGTAGTAACTAAGTCACTAAGCATTTGTGTTACCTCGTGGGGTTTCCTCTGGGTTCTTCGGATTTCCACCCACAGAAGTGGAGTTGCCAAACGGTCTGTGTGTGCATGTGTGAGTCACGGTGTGTGAGTGTGCCCTGTGATGGGTTGGCAGCCCATCGCGGGTTATTCGCTGACTTGTAACCCATTGCTTCTGGCATAGGTTCCGGACCCCCTGTGACCCTGAATAGGAAAAGCAGATACATAAAATGGATGGATACATATTAATATAACTAATTCATTTATGCATTTCCCCATCTTCCAGTAGGGGGCACTCTCAGACAGCATGCGGTACAAGGTCGAGGCACTGTTGTTAAAAATAATTAATTACCATAAAATTAATTACGTCCAAAAAACTTCTATAGAGTATCTACAAGTGCATGTGAATCTTGCCCAGATTCTGTTATAGATTTAGAGTAGCCTAATTTACACCTTGCTTTTGTAACCAAGCATAATAATCCTAATTACATTAAAATTGCAATAACAATGTGCTTCTTGAAACCACAACCAAACATCACGGCATGCTGTCAGTCAATGGGAGGTGCAGTAGAACTAAGAGTTGCGACTCTTTAATACTTCCCATTATCTGTTTTGTTTTAGAGCAAGTTAATGCTCATTATTTCGCACCTATTTATATCGGTGCCATGCTGAACGGGAAGAAAAACTTCTCACAAGATTACAAAGGGTCAAGACATTGTGTGGGAAGTATGGTAATGAGAGACTCGTGGGTGTTAATCCACTCCATTTTCTGGTTTTATGTTTTTCATTCTAACAATAATAGTATTCACTTGCTTAAAATTAAGGCTTTCTATATAGGTATAACGACCATCGGGAAATTCCTATTGCTTTTGCGAATAACAGGGCGACCAAATATATTATCCGAATTTGATATAAATAAAAAGATCTGATCTCATATTTTTAGCATGTTGATAATGTGAATAGATGTATCATAATTTTGATATATTTCTTTTTGAACAGCCAGTGGAATATGGAGGCTATTTTTTACTGTGCCATGACAACTGAGATGTTGCAGTATCCGCGTCCTTATCGACTTTTTAAAACCGACCCTGGATTTAAAAATACAGGGCAAAAGAGAGCCACCTTATGGGACAGCGAGGTAATTACCAGCTGGAGCGTTGGATCCCTGATACAGTTAACAGTATTTGACTGCAGGTTGTTTTTTTTTTTTGTATGTAAATAATCAAAAACAGGCTTCAGAACCAGGTCCCTGTAGCAGAGCAAAAAACAAAGACAAGACTTTGAGCTGACTTGTGAAGTTGGATGTTTTATTGATGCAACACAAATTGCCTTCCTCAAGAGTACATTATGGTCTTTTTCCGGGGTGCAAAACGCCTTTCAACAAAGACTCTTATGCGCCTTTCTCCTACTCTATCCCCATTCTGAAGACCAAGTGGCCCGTGGATTTGGCCCTCTGAGGCGTCTGGCTGGTTAGGAGACACTGCATGCAAACCACTGAGAACAGGGATGGTTTGAACCATCAACTGCGACCTCCTATTCCACTGTTTCTGCTCCTCTTCATGATACGCAATTCTTTTATACCTTTCTGAATGTTACTAATATTTCAAATCTAACACAAAGACATTTATGTAAGACATGTCTAAGCAAATGTTTTTTTATTGCTATTATTGTTGTTGTTAAAGAATAATATTATTATTGTCATTATTACTTTGTTTACTAACAAACAAGCAAATGAATGACTGAAAATTCCACAAAGAATGTTTCCTGGCAACAATTCAGAATATTTTGCAAGAAAATGAGACAGGTGGTCGTGAAATCTGTCCCCCCATGTAGGCAATGACAGGCCGACGCTTATCCATTATGCTGCACACACAAAGCCTGTTTCTACCCACGTGACTTTTTCCTTTTTTTTTATCAGATTGATTTTGCACTGCCTGAGGATTGCTGATAGGCCAGATGAGTCCTTATGTTCCTGAAACGGATAACAGGGGTGCGTGGGTTTAAAGCAGCAGGATTTTGGAGAGTCAGCCCTCTATTACCACGGTATGGTGATAAGCTTTACCATGTAGCCCAGACTCATTTAGAAAATGGACAGATATATATATATTTTTGTAGATTTAAAGTGTATTTAACAATACACTTAGCTCCCCATATGATATTTGGCCATTAAGTCTAATTATCCTCTCAGACAATTAAGAGGTGTGAAGCATATTCAGGCGGGAGCGTAATTAAAATGACGAATGGGTGAAGTCTTAGAGCCGTGCTGCATTGTGCTGCATTAGGGTGCATATGTTGCGAGTTGCTGCAACCACAGGGGGCGCTGATTGCAGTTTTAATTATTCACAAGACTGGCGTACATCTTCATGATCTTCTCGTGAGGCTGATCTGCATGTTGACTCACGCCCAGCGCCCCGTTCTCCTGACAAACGCCGCGACCTACTTGCCTCCATCTGCCCGAAGGCTTGCGTCGGCCGCTCTGAGGGATCGCTTGTTGTACCGTTACACGCCTCCCACTGGGCCACCCCCGGTGCACCTGCCAATAGATCCTCACGAAGCCATGTTGATTCTCGCTGCCTCTTCACTCAAAATGAGTAACTCCCTCAGGCCAGAAAAGGCAGAGAGTGCCGTATGCTGCAGCAGAGAATGCATTACCACCAAGGCTGGGATGGAGTCCAAAGTTATGCGCCTCCTAGTGGCGGAGTGAAGAAGTACACCCCCATACAATATCACAAAATCATTGCTATTTCGAGTGCAGGCATCCTTCCACATGGCCCACAGACATCAGAAAAACACATAAAGTTTCCAACACCCCACCTTATATTAATCACATTTTAATGGGGGCAGTGTGTGAGTCACCAGGTTAAGGTGATGTACCTCTAATGGGATGGTCGTTGGTTTGAATCCCAGGGTTGGAGGAGTGATTTCACTGTTAGGCACTTAAGCAAGGTCCTTAATCACCAATTACTCCTGGGATTGCCTGACCCTTTCCCAAAAAATTGTGTGTGGCTAAATAAATACATGTCAGAGTTGTTTTTGGTACCCTGTATGGACAAAATCCTGTTAATAAATACAACACTGTGACATAAGGATTCAAGAAGAATCTTTGAAGCAATGGGGCAACCTTGAAGTACATCAAACAGAGCTCCGTTTTAGCCACTGGCCTGAACTATCTCTGCTAACTTATTTAATATGCTGAGATTCAGCCTCAGCAAAAATAAAGAGAGATAAAAGAATCTATTAAGCAAAATTGAGAAAAAAAATACTAAGTGTAATGAATTAAATTTTGTGGATGGCGCAAAATGGAAATAACAGGATGCACGTCTACACTGTTTCATTACATTCTACGAAATGTCCCAAATGGAATATCACTGCATAGCCATTCAGCATCTTAATGTGTGCTGTCAGAGTATAATTAGGAGCCCATTTAGTCCGCTTTTACGGAAATTATTCATTGCAGGACGTACATTGATGGTAGATGCTTAATAAACAGGGCTGCAAACACTGACCATGTAAGTGTTTCTAATGGGATCATATTTTATGTATTTTTATGTTATATAAAGACTAATTATTTATCTCCTGTTTTTTCTCCTTCATCCATATTGTATTGTCGCAAAATCAATAAAGGAAAGGTAAATGGTTTTTCTGACCTTTTGGTGTATGATATACTATGCATGTTAATGATGTGCCTACTGATTAATGCTGTACAGTGACATTCCAGTGAGACTGTCCCAGTGAGAAGGAAGGATCACTGTCGCCCCTTTC